ACCACGCCCTCTTTTCCAATACCGCCCATTTTTATCCATGAGTATGGAATTATTTGTTATACCTCTATACCAACTTCCAGTACTCTACGACAAATATTTCAAGAGATATACAACAACAAAATTTTAGTTAGTATGGAAGGTGCCACACCCCCTTTTACGAATTCGGGCAAACTTCACATAAACCATCTGCATGATTAATCGAATATGCCACATAAATTTGGTTGAATTCGGTGAAGCTGTTCTCAAGTTATGAGGTCACTCCAAAAACGTGCACTTATTTTTATATATAAGAAGATGTAGGTAAAAAAATTTAGCTACCATTCTTAGCCACAACAACGATTTTTAGCTCTTTTTTAGCCCTTTTTTAGCTGGAATTTAGCTACCACTAAAAATGTTTCGCGGCAACACTGTTTGCCACTTTCAAATGCGTGTATCTCGTAATGGTGCATTTACATGGTATGAAGCCATATGAACAGTTGATATGCTAAAATAGAGGGACTAAATGTTCAAATGATTCAATGATATCGAGTGGGATGCATATAATACATTTTTTCTTATGAAAAATTATGGGGAGATACTGTAAACATACTGTTGTGATACTGTTAAGCATATGAATTTATAGCAAGTTGGGTTTCATACATCTTTCCATAAACAGTTTTACAGATGCAGGGCTACCTAATGAGGTTTTTTGTGTTTTAGTGCTTTTTTAATATAAAAACCCACAACTTAAGGACAAGCACACCTAAAAGCTAGACATTCTAAAAAAAGAATTATTAACAAAAACCAACAAAACCAACAACCACATGATCAAGTATAAATTGTAGCGGAATAGCTGCGCTTGATTGTGTTGGCTTAGCAAAATGAAAAAGTGGGCAAAAAGCAACGATAATTTACAAGGCCTACTTAGCACAGTGCGTAGGCAACTAGCTGAGTCAGCGGGATCGTCGGTTCGAATCCTATTGAAAGAAGTCTGATGAGGAAATGTGGTGATTTCCGAAATAGCTATCACTTCAACCATTTTTTCAAAATTATTCTTGCTATTCCACAATAAGTTTTTCATTAAAAACGGCCTCGAGCTCAATAAAAATTGTTGAATATAAAAACCCACCGAAACAAAGGAAAGCGGCATCTCCGTCTTGGCAGTTCACATTTTTGCGTTTTGAAATAGAAAACTTTTACCCCCATTTTATAAGAGGGGATGGGCGGTCTAGGATACCCTGTATATGTATGTTTGTATGTCCACCCCGTAGCGAAGGGCATGCAGTAGTAACTTAAGCAGGATCAAAAGAGGAGCGCGTCACAAGCGATTGGTGAGAGCCTTGCAATGGAATTGGAAAACTTACCAGCCCCTCTCTATAGAAAATTAAAAATTCGTATAATGACAGTTATTAACGAAGATATAACTGAGTACGAAAACTCAAATTTATAAATTTACAAAGCGTTTCATAACTATACGAGCACCACATATCGACAAGTTTTGATCGCTTATTCGTTTGTGTTTTACTTTTATTTTTTTTTAATAAAAACTATATTTTATTCTTTCACAAAATCCACAGAAACCCAAGTTTCAAACTTTGTACAAAAAATAATAAAAATTTAACAAAGTTCCACCAAAACATCAAGCTTTTTAATTAGAATTTCCAGAGAAATTTTTGGTAGTAAAATGCTGTAGAAAAGTATTGGCACAGTAAATTTTTCGAAATATAAGCAAAGTTTTTCATTCTAATTTCTTTTCAATAATTTTTTTTATTAAAATATATATGTAGTTCATACTACACCGTAAAACATATATAAAAAAACTATAAACTTAGTGCAAAACTCAGGAAAATTCGATAAATTTGCAACTTTCTATTGAGATTTTTAAGAAAAATTCTAGGTATGCAGTTTTATAGCCCATTCAAATTAGTATAACAAAGTGCAAGTTTTAAGATTCTAAATAATCGCGTTGATTTTTGGAAATTTTTCTCGGGCAGGAACAAAGTATTATCTACAAATTTTTTTTTTTTTTGTGAGGAGAAAATAGGCAACACCACTAAAAAAATGCCAAAAATCAACACGATCTTCTAACAACTTCAAACTTGCACTTTGTTATTTTAAAAATGGATGGGGCTATAAAATTGCATACTTAGAAAAAAAATTTCAGTAGAAAGTTGTAAATTAGTATGCACAGTTATTGAATTTTCCTGAGTTCTGCTCAAAGTTTAGTTGGTATAGAAAGAACTACATTTTTATAAAAAATCATCGAAAATAAATAAGAATAAAAACTTTGCTGATATTGCGAAAAATTTATATACATAAGTGCAATTTTCTTTAAGCGAAGCCAGTTGTGCAAGCAGACTGTCGCTTTTACGATGCTTTCGGTAGTATTAACTTTAGCGTCAATGGATATATCGATATATTCTCCAACGCGCCACTAATATACCAAACGAATTTTCCACCAACCTACGAGCTCGACTCAGCCTGAAATATAATATGTGACCTGGTCTACGAAAAGGGAGCTTACGTGCGAAAACTAGTTTTCTGTGAAAAAGCTGTTAAAGGTAAGCAACTCGTTTCGTCAGTTTCTCATTATCTCGTTAATTGTTCTCCGCGCCGGACGTCCAGTAAGTGTTGTTGTTGGTCCAGTAAGTTTTGTTGTTGGTCGGAATATTATTATAGTTATTTTATATATTATTATATTATTATTTTATATATTATTTTTACTCTTCTTTCTCTACATTTTTAGTACACTTCTAAGCAAGTTAGGATTTTCTGCTTTTCACCACGTGAAAAAGCATCTCATCTTCCATCCGAATCAACCAAAAAGTGAAAATTGATTTTTTGACACCTAAGCCCCCTTTCCGTAGACCAGGTCACATATATATGTACATACATATGCATGCATTCTAATTAGTCAGTTTTAAGTATAAACTGTACATAAGTACCTGTAATTAAATATTCGTTCGTCATCACTAAGTTGCCGGTGAGAGTACGGCTTCATTACATTTTCTTGCAAGGGAAATGCATCATCAGCAACTACAACGTAAGGAACTTTTCTAAAATTTTGAGAAATGTCTCTGGGTGGTGGGATTCTGAAAACATACGTATACACATACATATTGTATATGTGACCTGGTCTACGGAAAGGGGGCTTAGGTGTCAAAAAATCAATTTTCACTTTTTGGTTGATTCGGATGGAAGATGAGATGCTTTTTCACGTGGTGAAAAGCAGAAAATCCTAACTTGCTTAGAAGTGTACTAAAAATGTAGAGAAAG